CCTCTCTCTTCAGCAGCTTTTCCTGGCCTCCAGTTCCCTAATAAGGCGTGGATATGCCCATGCCACAGTCTAAGCAGGGCTTGGGCCCTGCTAAACAGCTGAATGTTTGTCTTACAAGTGTTTTATAGCTAGGGCTTATCACTGGTCTAGCTGATTTATACCAACAATCTTTGCCTTTCCGTTGAGGGGAATAAAGGTGTTCTTGAGCAAAACTCAGTCACATCATCGTGTGGGAAAAAAGAGTCAGTACTGCAAAAGAGATTGGTGATACTGATTTTTGGACCAAATTCCATATTAGGGTCGTTTAGATTAAATGGTTTTAAATTAGAATTGGGTTGTTGGTTGCATAGAAATAGAATTTTAGGAGTGTTGAGACAGATAGTATTTAAATCTTATTCTACTTTCTTCCCCTGATGAAAATATAGCCAGTGAAAGTTTTATCACGTTTTTAAAAGAAGACCAGTGAAATAAGAAAATTGCTAACGTGAGTTTTCAAATTTGTATGTGTGTATTAAATAAATCACATGCTAAGCCCTCTTGCTAAAGAACTTCATTGATAAAATTGAACTTGGTAGTGTCAGTAAAATAAAAGTTCAGCTGTGCTATTTGCAAATTGCATGTTTAACCTTTGTTTTTTTTTGGAAAATTTCAAACACTCAGAAAATAGATAATATAATAAACCTCCATATAGCCAGCATCTAGATTCAACAGATAAAAGTAAATGGCCGGTGATTTTTTCATCTCAACCCTTTCCCTCTCTCCCCTCCACACTTCTGCTGGATTATTTGAAAGCAAATCCCAGATATATTTTTCATCCATAAATACGTATTCTAAGAGATAATTTCTTAAAAAAACACATAACCATGGTAGCACTATCATTCTACTTATGGCTTTATCCTCCAAGTTTTAAAATGACTATCAGTATTATTGCTGTTAACACGGTGATTACTGAATTCTATTTAGGATTTCTTTGTAGTTCCTTCTGTCTTAGGGTATAACCTGCTAGGGACGTATGTTCATATTACTGTTTTAAAGTCTCTAAAATAATTCTTTTCTGTGGTAAGGTTGATATACATGGGGTTATTTGATTCATTTTTGATTTGGGGGTTGCTTGCCTTCCATTTTGATATAATTTTGTTTTACAATTATGTAAAAGATTTCCGTGGTTCTAAAACAAGGTGATTCAGAAGTTTAATGTTTCCTTCTCTTTCCTTTTATAGAATCATTGGAGGCTTGTGAAGCTCCTGATAAAATAATGAAAGTTTTTTGTATGTGTATATTTTGAGAGAACCATAGTTATTCTCTGAATTTTTTCAAAGGTTTCATGAGCAAGAAAAAAGATTGGAACCACTACTGGAGAGCAGTGGTTCTTGAATTCTTTTGGTCTCAGGACCCCTTTACGCTCTTAAAAACGTAAAGACTCAGAAGAGCTTTTTTTTGCCATATAAAAAAAAATAAAACGGGGCCAGCCTGGTGGCGCAGCAGTTAAGTTTGGCCGTTCAGCTCGTGCGTTCCGCTTTGGCGGCCTGGGGTTCGCTGGTTTGGATCCTGGGCGACCTACTCACCGTTCATCAAGCCATGCAGAGGTGACGTCCCACATAGAAGAGCTACAACCCTACAACTATGACACATAATTATGTACTGGGGCTTTTGGGAGAAAAAAGAAAAAGAGGAAGATTGGCAACAGATGTTAGCGCAGGGCCAGTCTTCCTCAAAAAAAAAAAAATTTGAAAATATTCATTAATTTACTTAACACACATGTTCCATGTTAATATAAATTTTTTCATGAAAATAACTATATACTCCAAGTCCAAAATATTGGTGAGAAGAGTGGATTTGTTTTATATTTGCAAATCTCTTAAATGTCTAGTTTAATGGGAGGCAGCTGGATTTTTTCATCTGTGGCTACATTCAATCAGATTTCTCATGTGGCATCTGGAAAACTCCACTCTATGTTGGCAAGACAATGAGAGTAAAGACAACGTTTGTCTTTTTTTTTTTTTTTTAATTTTTTGTTTATTGCAGTAAGACAGCGTCTGTCTTAGTGTTACAGTAAAAATAGTTTTGACCTTGTAGAGGCTGGGTAAGTCCCAGTTCTCTATTCTAGACTCTCTGTTAAACAGAGCCCTGGGGCCTGGTTTAGATTTGTTGTTTGCTTTGCTTAGTTTTGTGTTTTGGTTTGTCGTTGGGAAGGATGGGGTCTTCTGAAAATCACTGTCCCATCTTATTCATGCGTGTTTCTCCATCCCTCTAAGTGGAGGTCCCCTGTCTTCAATCTCTGCTTGTCCCCCCCTACCCCCCATGCCAGGAATGTTGGGAGCTGCAGTGCCTCCTGGGGTGAATGCACCCCCCAGCTGGCTGCTGTGTGGCCCTCACTGCAGCTCCCTCATGCCACATGGGAGCTGGGTTACCCTTGTGGGGCTGGTCCAAATCGCAGGACAAGCCTACCCAGCAACTGTTTGCACCCTCGTAGGTGTCCCCGCTGCCTCCCTCTGCACTGTGTCCTTGACACACTGTTGCTGCTGCACCCTATTTCCTACTTCCACAGCCTCCTGAAAATGGCTTTGAGTGCCTTTTCTCTCCTACTTGGCTAACTAGTAATTCTAGAACTAATCCTTCCCCGTGGGGGCCAGTGGCTGTGGTGATTGTAGAACCTTGATCTATGGCGCGTCCTGTGGCCCTGTCAGCTACGTTAAGTGGAAGTCCTAGTGTCTATGTTAGTGACCACAGTGACTGGGAATCCAGGTGATGGGGAATCTGGGTTCGTTTTCATAGAGGGAGCCTCATAATCAACTACCCCAACCAAGGAAGGCAGCAGTCACGCAAATTACCTACTCCCCACCCAGGAGGGCAGTGATGAAAAACAACACTGGACTCTTTCGAGGTCCAATAATTGGAATAAGTGCACTTTAAATTCTTTAAGGAGGGTCCATTGCAGGGCAAGTCTGGTGCTGGCAGCTGTAGTAATCGCGGCTTCAATGCAGGGTATTGAATTCAATGCAGTTAAAATGCTTGTGCGAATCTTCGGTGCCACAGCTGGTCTACTGCAGGGGAGCCTTCGTCCCCGTCCTGCCCCCTGCGTCTTGCCGTCCTCCTGCCTCTTAGGTGAGTTTCTCTGGGCTGAACTGTGCACTTGGAGAAAATTAGAGTGCTGAAAGCAGGCGTGAGCTGTCTGGATACTGCCCCTGGGAATCGTGGAATGAGAGCACGATTCTATTTTGTTTGTGTCAGAACTTTGATAGCGGAGGCCGATGAGGCGGGATGGCTGGGACATTGGTGTTGCGCCGCTAGAGCTCAGGGTCTTAGACCAGTCAAGACGGACCAGAGTGAAAGCTTTCACCAAGGATGTTTTCATTAATCAAGGATGAAGGTGAAAGTGGGAGGTTTGAAGAGGTTCAGATCCCGGGTAGTTCTGACTATAAATGATGCTGACCTCCAGCATTATTCCAGTGACCCGGTGGCAGCTTTTGGGAAACCAGAGTCCTTTGGGTGGTGGTAGCTGAAGGGTCTGGTTCCAAAGCTGAAACTGAAAGGCACAGCAGTGGAGTGTGCCTTTAATTTGCCTCTACCCGGACAACCACCTGGCTCCGGCGCAGACGGGATTGGCACATCTACAGGTCTTCCTTGGATGGTGCTGCATGGCCTTTCGGTGTTGGTGGAGTGATTTGTCTGGCTTATTGATAACCAGGGGGCTACTTTGCTAATCAGGCCACTCGTGTCCCTCAATTTTGACAAGTGGTGTTTGGCTGCCCGAGATTGAGCAGTCACAAGTCTGTGATGCTCTTAAATGTCTGGGACTGCATGCTGCACTGCTCAGTGTGTGCGCACCCTAGTCCGGTGGATGTGGGGGACCCATTAAATCCGTTAGTGGTGGGCTTGACTTTCGGTTATTCCTCATTAATTAGGAATTTCCTGTAAGAGAGTAGATCAAAAGCCTGCATTAAGTCCCTGCCCCTTCTGTACACGGCCTCTCGCCCTTCAGATTGTTCATTTGGGGTCGGCACTTGGCCCTGAGGTGTCACAGAGAAGACAGTCTAAATAAAAGTCACAACCAGGTTTTGGTAGGTGGTCCTGTGGGAGGAGCATTATGGAGTGAGAGAGCAGGAGGGATCTGTTGCGGTTCCTTCTCCGTAGTCACAGGCCACCCCAGGCGAGAAAACAGACAAATGTGCCCCGAGAACCACTTGGGGCGGGGTTCGGGGAGCGGTAAGCTGCTGCCATCTGGCCATGTGCCCAGTAGCCCTGGGTTCCAGTAGCTTCTGCTTAAGGCAGCCACTGGCTCACCTCTCTCTGGCCTGGCGCCTTCATGGTCTTGAGGTGCCCCTCGACCCTAATTGTGTGTTCATGTGTATCTCGCTGTCTTTCTCTCCCTCTCATGGAGTGAGGTGAAGCTAAAGGGATGTCTTTCGTGCCTGCCCGCTGCTGTTACTGTGTTTAAGTCCTTAGCTGTGTTTTTGTGGAGTTTAATCTGTTAGGACTGGATTTAGTTAGGACTTTAAGTTAGGACTGGAGTTTAAAACTGTCAGGACGCTAATGGGTGACCTGATTATGCATATTTCTATTAGCATTTGTTAGTTATGGTGGAGTGTAGTTTTAAATAAAAACTTTATTTTTAAATATTTATTTTTTATTTTTATGATGTCTGTGTGTGTTTATTGAGGTAACACTGGTTTATAATATCATATAAATTTCAGGTGTACATTATTATATTTCAGCTTCTGTATAGACTACATTGTGTTCACCACCAGAAGTCTAGTTTCCGTTGTTATTTTCAACTTTGATTTTACAGAGCTCTCATACAAAGGAATAGTTGCCCTTTTTATATATTAGGAAACTTTTTACTTTCAGATATATACTTGATTATCATCCGAATCACACTTTTTAGTTCTCCGTGCTGTTGATTAATGTTTTACCAAGTGGTAGATTCTTGCTTTAACGTGCAATATTTTAGTTTTTGGTGGTATTTTTTCTTTTTAAGTTATAACCAAAGATAATTTAATTTTTCTTTTTCATTAACAGACATATGTAGAGTGTGTCGGTCAGAAGGAACCCCTGAGAAACCTCTTTATCACCCTTGTGTGTGTACTGGCAGTATTAAGTTTATCCATCAAGAATGGTGAGTCATCCTTTTAGAGAATTTTATGTCTGAGCTTCAGATTTGTCATCTGTATAACAAGGGGGATTGTTTCAATGAACTTCCGCTATAATTAGTTATTCTTTAAAAATTTTGTTAATGAAAATTTGGAAATTACCCCTGTTCCTTATTACCATGCTGTATCATTTTGGTATATAGTCTTCCAGGTGCACGTGAGTACCCGTTTGTTTATTTATACATTGAAGCACTTATTTTGTTCATTGGAAGTGTTACTGTTTTCTAGTTTTGGTTGGCATGCTAATAGCTTACATTTATGAAGTGCTTTGTGCCAGGTAGTGCTCAGTGCTTTTACACATCTTAACTCGTTTAATCCTTACAACAAAACCGTGACCTGAAGTATTATTATTATTATTATTATCATCATCATCATCATCATCATCATCATCATCATCATTTTGCAGATGAGGAAACTGAAGCAAAGAAAGGTTAAGTAATTTGTCCTGGGTAACATAGCCAGCCAGTTAGTGACAGAACCAGGATTCAGACCTAGCCACCAGGGTAGCAGTATTATCAGACCAGTATTAGAGCTGATGTTAATGCTTGGAGAGTCTTGCATATTCAGTTAGTTTTGAGGAGATTACAGTTTAGATTAATTGAACGTTTTTAATAGTAGAAAAACATATCGTTTTTGTCTTTATCTGTTATAGTTTTGTACTCTTAGAAGGCGTCAGTTATAAAAAGTTAAGAAGAGTATTCTAAATTTGAAATTGTCAAAATTGTAAAAACTCTATGATATGTAAAGTTTTAATAAAACAGAACATTAGTTTTCAGTGAAACCTTAAAGTTTCTTTGTTATAAACACTGTACTTATGAATGTATTTGTAATTGCAGCTTAGTTCAGTGGCTGAAACACAGTCGAAAAGAATACTGTGAATTATGCAAGCACAGATTTGCGTTCACACCAAGTAAGTTCTTTAGAAGTTGTCACTGCATTTTGGGATTATAGCTGGCTGCATAAAGGAATTTCAGCAGCTTTAAAGCAACTATTTTCAACTTAATTTGTCTTTGAAAGTAGTAGAAAGTACTGCTATAACATTTGGAAAATATTTTTAAAAACTACATGTCAGCTTTTAACACATACACGTGTGAGATGGAGAGTGATTTAATTTGTGGGGTAGTTCTTTTTTCTTTGTTTTTAAATTTTTTATTATGGACAAGTTCAAATGTATACAAAGGTATAATGAGCCCACGTGTACACATCACTCAGTTTGACCCGTTTTCAACTCATAGTCTTTATATAGCATCACCTGTGCTCTTGTTCTCCACCTCTCCATCCTTTTTAAAACAAATCCTATCATTTATAATGTCATCTGTACGTATTTTAGTATGTATCTCTAAAAAGTAGGGGTTCTTTTTAAAAAACATAACTATAATACCATTATTTACCCAGAAAAATTAATAATGGTGCCTTGATTTTATCAGATAGCCCATCATTGTTCAAATTTGGGGTATCTTTTGAGTTAAAATTATATAGGTTGGAATAAAAGTAATAAAGACAAAGTTTTAATTTACCTTTTTTTGAGACTTTTTTTTTTTTTTTTCCCTGAGGAAGATTTGCCCTGAGCTAACATCTGTTGCCAGTCTTCCTCTTTTTGCTTGAGGAGGATTTGCCCTGAGCTGACATGTGTGCCAGTCTTCCTCTATTTTGTATGTGGGTCACCACCACAGCGTGGCCTCTGAGGAGTGGTGTAGGTCTGCGCCTGGGAACCGAACTTGGGGCACTGAAGCGAAGCATGCCAAACTTAACCACTAGGACACGGGGCTGGCCCAGAGACTTTTTAAGCTCAATATTTTGTAAGCCTATGGTAAATATTTTGCAGGTCTTTAAAATTTCAATTATATAATTCTTGTACCAATTGATATTTAATGTTGTTGATCTTAAATAAGTAGAGGACTATACTGGCAATTTAACAAGAATTTGAAGCATAATTTTCATTCTGGAATCCTAGTAAATTACCCTCTTCCCCCAAAGTTTGTTTTTTTTTTTTAAAGTACCTTGAGCTGCTGAGTGTAAATGCTGTAAGTTAGTACTAGTTTTACTTTGTTTTTATGCGATAAGTATAAATGATTAAAGTCATTACAGTTTCACTTTTGGAGCTTTATATTCATCACCATCAAAAAATGTCAATTCTGTTATTCTGTTGTCTTTAATTTTCTGTAGGGCATAAAAACTACAGCTTACAGTTTATAGCAAACTATATAAGACTAAATAATTGAATATCTTCATGCAGTTTGATTGATAGGAAATACTTGTGACCTTTTTTACTTTGAGACCAATAAAAGCTCATGGTTGTACATGTTATTTTTCATATGACAGTCAAATGCTGTTTTCTTTATCTTTCTCAAAAACTGTTTATTGGGAGCAGCCTGGTGGCATAGTGGTTAAGTTTGTGCGCTCTGCTTCGGCAGCCCAGGGTTCGCAGGTTCGGATCGCGGGTGTGGACAAGTGCCATGCTGTGGCAGGCATCCCACATATAAAGCAGAGGAAGATGGGCACGAATGTTAGCCCCAGGGTCAATCTTTCTCAGCAAAAAAAAAAAGAGGAGGATTGGCAACAGATGTTAGCTCAGGGCTAATCTTCCTTACAAAAAAACCCAAAACACTATTTATTGGTTTAATGACTTGTTCTTGTGTATTGAATATCCTTTTAAAGTAAGCGATCTTTGTGAGTGTGTTCTAAAAAGTTGCTATTTGTTGTTTATTCCTTAATGTTTGTTGTTGTGAATAGCTGCATTTATAATTATAGCATTTGTGGGCCGGCCCGGTGGCTTAGCGGTTAAGTGCACGCGCTCCGCTGCTCGTGGCCCGGGTTCGGATCCCGGGCCTGCACCGACGCACCGCTTCTCCGGCCATGCTGGGGCTGCGGCCCACATGCAGCAACTGGAGGGATGTGCAGCTGTGACATGCAACTATCTGCTGTGGCTTTGGGGGAAAAAATAAATAAAATAAAAAAAAAAATAATTATAGCATTTGTAATAGTGCTCATAAATTTTAGATTATTGATTTTAAAACTTTATACATCATAATTCCTTGTTTTGGTCTCACTGGGGAAAGAGGCATCTGTTCTTCCTGTGTGTTCTTTCTGAGATAGCTGTGTGGTAGAGCAGTGGTTTTCATTGGAACCGTTTAAAAAGGAAACCTTTCTAAAACATCTTGCAGAGACATGGGAAGACCTGAATTTACCATTTGGAATGTTGATTATTGTGGTGGAGGGTTGGTTAACAAATGCCAGTGGACTGTTTGCTCCCACATAAGATGGCGGTGCTGCACATTGTTTTGCTTTTTGACTGCTGTGTCTAAGGCACTTATTTGGGAGGAGGGTTCTTTCTTGATGACGTGCCATCAGTTTCACCTTTGCTCCTGTTTGCTTTATCTAATCTTTTATAATTTGGGAAACCAGATAATTATATTGTTTTAATGCTAAAATATGTATAAATTAGCTTTGCATGAAGTTCGTGGCTATAAGTGAGGGATGTGAACTTCCCTTGAATCTTTTTTCCTGCTCAGAGGCCTTTTTTTTTTTTATTGATGTCTTAATAGTTTATAACATTGTGAAATTTTGCTTGTACGTTTTTGTTTGTCAATCACCATATACATGTCTCCCTTCACCCCTTGTGCCCACCCCCCACCCCCATTGCCCCTGGTAACCACAATACAGTTTTCTCTGTCCATATTCCACATATGAGTGAGATCATACAGTGTTTGTCTTTGTTTTTCTGGCTTATTTCACTTAACATAATACCCTCCAGGTCCATCCATGTTGTTGCAAATGGGACAATTTTGTTTTTTTTTATGGCTCAGTAGTATTCCATTGTACATATATACCACATCTTCTTGATCCAGTCATCAGTCGAGGGACACTTGGGTTGCTTCCACTTCTTGGCTATAGTGAATAATGCTGCAATGAACATAGGGGTGCATAAGCCTCTTTGGATTGTTGATTTCAGGTTCATTGGATAGATTCCCAGTATTGGGATAGCTGGATCATAGGGTATTTCTATTTTTAATTTTTTGAGGAATCTCCATACCGTTTTCCATAGAGGCTGCACCAGTTTGCATTCCCACCAGCTGTGTATGAGGGTTCCCCTTTCTCCACATCCTCTCCAACGTTTGTTGTTTTTTGTCTTGGTGATTATAACCATTCTTATGGGCGTGAGATGATATCTTAGTGTTGTTTTGATTTGCATTTCCCTGATGATTAGTGATGTTGAACATCTTTTCATGTGCCTATTGGCCATCTGTATATCTTTGGAGAAGTGTCAGTTCATTTCCTCTGCCCGTTTTTTGATTGGGTTGTTTGTTTTTTTTGTTGTTCAGTTGTGTGTGTTCTTTATATATTATGGAGATTAACTCCTTGTCAGATATATGTTTTGCAAATATTTTCTCCCAGCTGGTGGGTTGTCTATTCATTTTGATCCTGGTTTCATTTGTCTTGTAGAAGCTCTTTAATCTGATGAAGTCCCACTTGCTTATTTTTTCTTTAGTTTCCCTAGTCTGAGTAGGCATGCCATCCGAAAAGATTCCCTTATGACCAGTGTCAAATAGTGTGTTGCCTGTATTTTCTTCTATGATTTTTATAGTTTCAGGTCTCACCTTCAGGTCTTTGATCCATTTTGAGTTAATTTTTGTGAATGGCAATAGCAGATGGTCCTCTTTCATTCTTTTGCATGTGGCTGTCCAGTTTTCCCAACACCATTTATTGAAAAGACTTTCCTTTCTCCATTCAGAGGCCTTTTTTGTTTGCTTCTACATTTCACATGTGATTTGTTCTCGTAAATAACTTCTGGGTAAATGTATTATTGTAACTATTTGACTGACTTTTTTTTTATAAAAAAAAATATTAAGTGCAATACAAATATTGAAAGTTAAGATAGCTCTACATGCATATTTTATATTTATAAATTAAGCTATTTTTAAATATTCATGAAATTGTATGTACTTTTTTTTCCTTTTATAGTTTACTCCCCAGATATGCCTTCACGGCTTCCAATCCAGGACATATTTGCTGGACTGGTTACAAGTATTGGCACTGCAATACGATATTGGTTTCATTATACACTTGTGGCCTTTGCATGGTTGGGAGTTGTTCCTCTTACAGCATGTGAGTATTCATTCCTCTGTGGTTGGAGTTATACAACATTGCATAACTATTTAATATTCTAAAGTAATATTGCATCATATTTTTGTTTGAATGATATTTAATTATTTGATATTATAATGTCAGATATTAAGAAAGCCTGACTTAAAAAACATTATCCACCTGAGTTAAGAACTATTTTTTAACAGGTCAGTTTGTTGAATGAGTGTGGGAAAGAAAAACACAGTGTATAGAGGCTAATAATGAAAGTCATGAAAGAATTGAAAAAGCAAAATCAAACCATAATTGGAAGGAACTTGAATTTTATTCCTTGAAACATATTAGAGCTTTTAAGGACTGCAAAAGATGGATTCTTCTGAGAGTTTTTCACCCTTTTAAAAGACACTTACATATCTAATGTTCCTGAATAATTGGGAGGCTTATCTTTCAAATGTGGAAAGCTTTCTGGGAGGTTGGTATACTAACCCTTAGTTGATCTCTTTTGGGTTCTTTGTTGTTCTTAAAGACATGAAGAGGGGTAGATAGTATATGGTCCCAGAGTATATAGATATATGATTCTTTGGAGTTCCATGCGAATAGGATTTTTGAATGAGTATACTTAATATCCTCATGTCTCCTTAAAATGAACTTGAAAATTTATGAAACTGAAAATCTTGGGAGATACACCAAATGGCAGAATAGGTGCTTTTGAAGAGTGAATTCGTGAGCTAGAAGATTGAGCAAGGAGTTCTCCAGGATGTAACTCAGAGAGACAAGAAGTTTGCAAGTATGAGAGGTGGAGGCGACATCCAGTTGTTTCAGTATCTGTAGTTCCAGAAGGTAAAAGAGATAATGGAGATGAAGAGATAGACATCTTTTAGATTGAAAAAGAGAGAGCTGACCATGATACAGTTAAGAGATTCACAAGCCTAGACACCTTCTAAAGCTTTCCATTGCTTAGTAGGGTGGTGTATAGATGTTACACTTTCAGATTATCCTCCAAGTAATGAGAATCAGACTGGCATCAGACTTAAAATCAGCAGTGTCAAATGCTGGAAGACAGCAAAAACTTTAAAATTTGACAAAATTTTTAGACCTAAAATCTTCTACCCATAAATTCTCCGATGGAAGGACAAAATACAGACATTTTAGTAGATGCAACAGCTTGGGAAGTTTACTACCTGAAACTATTTATGAAAAAAGTGTTTGAGAATATACTTTACTAAAATGAACAAGTAATCAAAGAGAGAGAAAGGTGTGAGCTACAAAGAAAAACAAGTGCTTCTTATAGTTAAATCGCAATTATTGTTAATCCCAATAATTAATACTTCTTAGGTAACAGCTTGGAGCTAAAATTCTAGATAATCCCAAGATGGGAGAAATTGTGAAGGGAAGATAGAAATGAGAGCTTTTTAAGTTGTCTTATTGTGGGGAGATTATAGATGCTCTAAATACAGATAGGAAAGTATAGTGTAACTATGCATTAAAGATATAGGGGTAACCAAATAGAGTCCAGAACTAGACGCACACCAGCCTCATCACCTGATTAACAATAGAGGTGCCCCTGCTGTTCAGTGGAGGAAAGATAGTCTTTTCAATAAATGGTATAGCATCAACTGGATGGCCACAAGGAGAAAATGAACCATATCATTACCTCACGCCTGACACAAAAAGTAATTCGAGATGGATCATAAGCCTGAAGGTGAACATTTAAACCAAAAAACTTATAAAATAGCAGGGAATAACCATAAAAGAAAATACTGATAATTGGACTTAATTTAAATTAAGAACTTTTATTCATGCTCAGATACCTGTGAGAGAGAGGGGCAAGCCACAGAGTGAGAGAAGATATTTGCATTACACATATCCAACAAAGGACTTGTATCTAGAGTGTATAAAGAACTCTTATAAATCAGTAAGAGAAAGACAGACAACCCAATTAGAAGGTGGACAGAAGATTTGGACAGGTGTTTCTGGAAAGAAGATTATCTAAATAGCCAGTAAACACATGAAAAGATGCTCAGCATCATGAGTCATCAGGGAAATGCGCAGGAAGATACTACTGTACTCAACAGAGTGGCTAAAATTAAAAGGCATGAGAATGCCAAATGTTTCTTACGATGTGGAGCATCTGGGACGTGCATACCTTGATGGCGGGGGTATATATGGTATAACCACTTTGGAAAACTGTTTGGCAGTATCTACCAATGCTAAATATTACACATAGTTTATGATCCAGCAGTTTCATTTCTGAGAATATAGCTAACAGAAACATGGGCTTTGTGTCCAGTAAAAGACGTGTATAAGAAGAATCACAGCAGCTTTCCTAATAATAGTAAAAAAGTGGAACCAACTAGATGCCTATCAATAACAGTAGAATGGATACATTGTCGTTTATCCATACAGTAGAATACTACATAGCAGTGACAAAAGAGCTGACTATTATGACATGGATGAATTGCACTTCTTTGAGAAGAAGAAACCAGGCACAAAAGAGTATAGATTATATGATTGCATTTATATGAAATTTAAAAATAGGCCAAATTGACCTATGGTGATAGAGATCAGAATAGTGGTTACCTTTTGCTGGAGATACTGACTGGGAAGGGGCTTGAGGGAGCCTCTGGGGAGCTGAAAATGTGGAATATCTTGATCTGGGTGGCAGCTCCTGGGTATATACATATACGGTCATACACCGCACAATGACGTTTAGGTCAAGGATGGACTGCATATACATCGGTGGTGCCATAAGAGTAGTACCATATAGCCTAGGTGTGTAGTAGGCTACAGCAGCTAGGTTTGTGTAAGTACACTCTTTGATGTTTGAATAACGATGCAATCGCCTAACGATGAGTTTCTCAGAATGTATCCCCGTTGTTAAATGATGCATAACGGTGTAAAAATTCACCCAAACACTTAAGATTTATGTAAATTTTACCTTAATAAAAAAGCAACAAAAGAAAACTTAACGGTAACTGCTAGAAGAAGAGAAATAGGATGATCGATTTTCATCTTGGGGAGTGGGAGTTGGAAACAGCAAATGAAATTTGGAAAGTCCAGCAAAAGACTGGAAGGATAGGAAGGGAGGACAGAGAGAGGGAGGTAAAAGAGAGGAAAGGATGTGGTTGCAACATCTGTGGTCTTAAGGGTTTAGATTTTTCTGTTGCAGGATAGAGCCTCACATTTGTGTAGGTATAAAAGCATTCCACTATGAGAGAGAGGTACAAAGCAGCCCAGGTTAATGCTAGAGGAATTTGTTAGCAAATGCTGACAAAATTTGTAGGAGCGATATTAATCAGCCAGATAACATTCGAGATGAAAAGCTTTAGATGCAGAAAAGCATATTTCATTTTAATGAAAGGCATAGTCCATTAATAAAATAAAACTTCAGAACTTTTATGCACCAGAAAACAGGACTTTGAAATATATTTGTAAAGCATTCAGTCATCGTGGAAGACTAACACACTTCTTTGAAATCAGTAGATCAAACAGTCAGAAATTAAGTAATAACTTAGGGGATTTAAGTAACACAGTTAACAGGCTTGATTCCTGTTCTCTCTTGTTTACGTGTACACACACACAATTAAAATCTAAATTATATCACACACTACATATTCTGTAACTTTTTTCTTTAAGTTAGCAATGTACCCTGGCTGTCTTCCCACGCAAGTACTTGGTGAACTACCTTATTTTTTAATGGATGCATTGCACTGTGTAGTAAGGAGGCCTATAATTTATGAATCCATTTTCCTTTCTACAGACATTGGGTTTGTTGTCACTTGTACTTTGTTACAGGCTCTTGCTTTGAATATTTTATATACATATGTTAAGTAATTTCTGTTACAGAAAATCTTTTCCTACCTTTCCATTTTGACTTGGCTTTTTTTTTGTGAGGAAGATCAGCCCTGAGCTAACATCCATGCTAATCCTCCTCTTTTTTTTTTTTTGATTTTTTAATTATTTTTTTATTTTTTAAACCATTTATTTATTTTATTTATTTTTCCCCCAAAGCCCCAGTAGATAGTTGTATGTCATAGTTGCACATCCTTCTAGTTGCTGTATGTGGGACGTGGCCTAACATCGGTGCCCATCTTCCTCCACTTTATATGGGACGCCGCCACAGCATGGCTTACCAAGCAGTGCGTCGGTGCGCGCCCAGGTTCCGAACCAGCGAACCCCAGGCCGCCGCAGCGGAGCGCGCGCACTTAACCGCTTGCGCCACCGGGCCGGCCCCACAAAGAATTATTTTTAATAAACTTTAATGACTGTCACTCATTTACTTATTTTTAGCTATAATAAAATAGATACTTCAAAAGTGACTTTATTTGTATGAAAATATAAAATACATTAGGTATTTACCATCCAATAGCCAAATATACTTGTGTGGAGAGAAATGAATAATCTTTTCATAAGTTTGTGAAGTTGATTTAAGAGAAATCTTTGGCTGTCCCTCTAAGACTTTTTTTGGTAAGAAAACCATGTTGTCATGAATTGTTGAAATAATGTCAAGGAAAGAGTTGAAAGAGATAAAAAGTTAATTCAGATAAAGATAAAATCCCCAAAATAATACAGCTGAAAGAATGAGAGGTTTTTTTTGTTTGTTTTTGTGAGGAAGATTAGCCCTGAGCTAACATCTGTTGCCAATCCTCCTCTTTTTGCTGAGGAAGATTGGCCCTGGGCTAACATCTGTGCCC